TTTTTGGCTGAATACTGTTTCTGCATTCTCTATGAGAATTAGGAGAGGTCGGGAGCTCTCAAATCTCCCTTAGCTGTGTTGATAAATAAAATTGAGGCTTAGGCCTATCAATTTGGTATCAGWGCAGTTGTTCCCAGGTATGGTGGGAAAGATGGAAGCTAGAATTAATTYGTTGGAAGAAAACTTGGAAGGAAGGATGACTGAGATGCAGGGAAAAATGATAGAATTACAGTCTGAGATGGAGGTACGGATGGAGTCCAARGTTGGGGAGATTAGAGGAGATATGACCGCAATGTTCAAGAAATTGGAAGGGTTGTTTCGAGAGAGAGATGGTTCGGCATCATCAGATAAGGCTCGAACAGATAAGGGGAAGCAGGTGGAGGGTTCGAAAGCGTTACAAGTGCTGGAGGAACCAATTCAACTGGGTCAAAAAAATGCGGAAGGGACTCATGCACCTGGAGTTCGGGAGGTGTCGCTTTTCGACATGCGTTTGCGAAAATTGGAGGTGCCGATTTTCAAAGGGGAAGAAGGAGAAGATCCCGAATATTGGTTACACCGAGTCGAACGTTACTTCGTTGTGAATCGATTAACGGAGAGGGACAAGCTTGAAGCGGCGGTTCTATGTCTGGAAGACGAAGCCCTGTCATGGCATCAATGGGAGGAAGGGCGAGAACCATTTACATCATGGTCGGAATTTCGTGAGAGGTTGCTGGACCGTTTCCGACCATCGAACGAGGGCGACCAATACGTGCGATTCCTGGTGCTGCGTCAGGAGGGTACCGTGAAAGTTTATCGGCGACTGTTTGAGCAGTATGCGACGGCGTTGAAGGATGTTCCAGAGACGATCTTAGAAAGCAAGTTTGAAAGCRGGTTAAAAGAAGAGATCCAAGGGGAGCTTCGGATCTTAAAACCCGTGGGCTTAAAAGCCAAAATGGCATTGGCCCAAACTATCGAGGAGAATGGACCGGGCCGCTTGAAGAAGACGGGTACAGCTCCCTTCACTCCAAATAAGTCAAGTGGATTAGGCTCCAGTGGGTCGGGTTCAAGTGGGTCATCCCAGGCACGAACGATTTCCCTCAGTCCAACACGAAACGCGAACCCGTCCTCCACTACGATTTCATTCAGCCGTGATTCGACTGGAAAGGGCACCGCATCATCGTCCTTCAAGCGGTTGACGGCCGCCGAATTACAGAGCAAACGGGAGAAGGGGCTCTGTTTCCATACGCCTCAGATTCGGCGGTCAGTGAGGTCGATAGCCAGCTTCGCAATCGTGACGCTATGTTAGCCACCTTGAAGGATTTCCTACAACGCTCCCAACAGCAAATGGTCAAGTCGGTAAATGCAAATCGACGGGATATCTCATTTGAGGTAGACGATTGGGTTTATGTGAAATTACGACCCTACCGGCAATCCTCGTTCTTCCTCCATACCCATCCGAAATTGGCGCCCCGGTTCATTGGTCCATTCCAGGTCTTGACCAAGGTTGGACAGGTCGCCTATAGATTGGCCCTACCTTAGGGCTCCGGAATACATCCTGTATTTCACGTTTCTTTACTTCGCAGGGTCGTCGGACACAACTTGCCAGTTTTTCCTATTCCTACGGGCCTCACCCCGGCTTTGCAGCTCAAGTTACGCCCGWTTGAATTACTAGGTTTGCGCCGTCCCCACCTTGATGATGAYGAACTGGAGGTTTTGGTTCGTTGGGAGCATGCATCAATTGAGGATGCGACTTGGGAAAAGGCCTCTTCCATTGCCTTACAATTTCCTGATTTCCACCTTGAGGACAAGGTGGCTTGTTGGGGGGCGGGTAGTGATAGGCCCCCAATTACTAGGGTATATCAACGTAAGCGGGGGAGGAAGAGGGAGTCGGTGTGAGCAAGAGTATTACGTAATTGTAAGTGGGCCC